AAGGGATTGAAAGAAGAAAAGAACAAGAAAGATAAGAAGTTTAGCCTTTCTCATTTTCTCTTGCTCAGCCAATCGACATGGATTGAAACTTTGGCCATACAATGTGAATAGGTGGCAAATGGTGGCCCTCCCTCTATGATGTAGCTCCTCTCAATAACATGCTTGATGTATGTTTCTTATTGACTTGAAAGTAGGTCTATGTGAATCCATAAACCTCTTTAGTTCACCTATTTAGGTTATTTTAGCCTTATTGTTGTGAGATCATCCACTGATTCACCTAGAAGCCCAGCCAGGCAAGACATGAAGATTTCACTCATGGATCACACAATTAGGAAAAGAGTTCATTAATCATGCACAACCCTGACTATGTGCTAAATAAAAAATTTGAAGATAAAGCTCAACAATCATCTTCCAAACAATTGTCCTGGATAATGTCATGTCAAATCACTCTATGGAACAGCATTCTGACAGACAAAAATGCTAAAAGTCAATTAAAAACATTTTTAAGCTAACAATATCTTGGCCACTTCATTAGCTGAATTCATCGGAGTTATCATTTGTCCCTCTATATGACTTTGAAAATGCATGTACGAAACAAATAAAAGAATAGCTTCAATGTAATTCTAAGGAAAAACTCACTTCTTATTTACACATAAATGCAATATTTTTCAAAAAGTTGAAGCTTAGTTATAGACAATAGTTTAAGCATGTGTTTAAAACTAAGTTTTCATTATATATTTGCAAGCTTTTACATGTCAGACGTGTAGCTCTAACTGATTACAATAGTCAGATGGGGAACTGAAGACATGCGGAAGCATGGCCAGAGAAAAAGCTAGAAGTTTTTCTAAGTGGGGAGTAACGTGGCTATTTTAAAAATATCAATATTTTTCAGTAGATATCTCTAACTTTAAACTCTAAATTTTTGAACAGGTATAAATTGAATATTTTTGAGAAAATTATATTTGCGCAAGTAAAATTATATGATATATAGAGACATCTTAACATTTTGGAGGGGGTGCTTGCCCCCTCATGTCCCTTTAAATCTACCCTTGAGCATCGCATGCCAAAGAAACGCTGGAGAAAGAGACCAGCATCAACAAGCTGATGAGGACATCGCTCAGAGATTTTGACATGTGTACCAGCGATGGAATCGCACATCGACGGATACGATTCAGAGTCTTTACTTTTGATGTATTTTTATGTTTTATTTATTTTTGCATTTCAATTTTCCTAGTTTACCCCTATGGGTAGTGAGTTCTGTAGCACTGAGGGCATTTGAGTCCTTTTTCTTTTCTTTGTGATTGAGACATATATGTAACGGTCTTGTGCTTTGTAAGAGCTTGATGAATGATTGAATGAAAATTTGATGTTTGTCTTCTTCTTCTTATGTGTGCACTAGAGAGAAGAGAGACCCTCAGGCGAGGGCAAGCGCATTACCCATCAGTCATTGGAAGAGTCTGTGGCTCGTGTCTTTTCTTCTTTTCCCTTCTTCTTCTCCCCACCCGTCAGCCCACCCCCAACATCCCTAACTTCACCCCAACTCCATCTCCAAAACCCCTCCACCCGCCGGCTCAAACCCCCTTCCCTCGTACCAGACGCCACATTTTCCCTTCCCATTGCCGCCGGCCCACCCCTTTGCCGACTCAATTATGATGATTTCAATCATCATAATTGTTTTCCTAAATTAACTCAAGTAAGAAAGGAAATGAATTATTATTATTTGAAAATTCAAATTTGAATTTCAAATACTTTCCTAATTTACAAATTCTAATTTAGGAAAGTCCATAAATCTAAGTCTAATTTAAATTCAAATTAGATTTGATTTATTATTCCCCTTCCTCATGAGTTGTTTTGGAAGCTTTTAAATCCCTCCTCCCTCTCTTAATGCCGTCGACCTTATTAATGCCCACCTCCTTTTGATTCCTCTTTACGCCCTACATCCTATTTGAATTTGAAAGCAAACTTCAAATTCAATTCCCTCCCAAGTCACTTGAACCTGAAATTAATTTCAGATTTATTCACAACCACTTTACCCAAACCCTAAACCTAATTTAGCCCACAAGCGTCCACTTTCCCCTCTCTCTTTGGCCGAACCTTTTCCTTCCCTTATCTCCATTGGAAACCACAATCTCTCTTGAATCTCTTTGGCCGAACCTTTTCCTTCCCTTATCTCCCTTGGAAACCACAGTCTCTCTTGAATTCTAGAGCAAAGAAGAGAAGACAAACCCTCTCATCCCATCTACCTTTGGTGCATGGCCGATCCCGAGACCACAATATCTTGGCCACTTCATTAGCTGAATTCATCGGAGTTATCCTTTGTCCCTCTATATGATTTGAAAATGCAATGTACGAAACAAATAAAAGAATAGCTTCAATGTAATTCTAAGGAAAAACTAACTTCTTATTTACACCTTTTTTTTTTACTTCTTATTTACACATAAATGCAATATTTTTCAAAAAGTTGAAGCTTAGTTATAGACAATAGTTTAAGCATGTGTTTAAAACTAAGTTTTCATTATATATTTGCAAGCTTTTACATGTCAGACGTGTAGCTCTAACTGATTACAATAGTCAGATGGGGAACTGAAGACATGCGGAAGCATGGCCAGAGAAAAAGCTAGAAGTTTTTCTAAGTGGGGAGTAACGTGGCTATTTTAAAAATATCAATATTTTTCAGTAGATATCTCTAACTTTAAACTCTAAATTTTTGAACAGGTATAAATTGAATATTTTTGAGAAAATTATATTTGCGCAAGTAAAATTATATGATATATAGAGACATCTTAACATTTTGGAGGGGGTGCTTGCCCCCTCATGTCCCTTTAAATCTACCCTTGAGCATCGCATGCCAAAGAAACGCTGGAGAAAGAGACCAGCATCAACAAGCTAATGAGGACATCGCTCAGAGATTCCGACATGTGTACCAGCGACAGAATAATACATCGACGGATATGATTCAGAGTTTTTACTTTTGATGTATTTTTATGTTTTATTTATTTTGCATTTCAATTTTCCTATTTTACCCCTATGGGTAGTGAGTTCTATAGCCCTGAGGGCATTTGAGTCATTTTTCTTTTCTTTGTGATTGAGACATATATGTAGCGGTCTTGTGCTTTGTAAGAGCTTGATGAATGATTGAATGAAAATTTGATGTTTGTCTTCTTCTTCTTGTGTGTGCACTAGAGAGAAGAGAGACCCCCAAGCGAGGGCGAGCGCATTACCCATCAGTCATTTGAAGAGTATGTGGCTCGTGGCTTTTCTTCTTTTCCCTTCTTCTCCCCACCCGTCGGCCCACCCCCAACATCCCTAACTTCACCCCAACTCCACCTCCAAAACCCCTCCACCCGCTGGCTCAAACCCCCTTCCCTCATACCCGACGACACATTTCCCCTTCCCATTGCCACCGGCCCACCCCTTTGCCAACTCCATTATGATGATTTCAATCATCATAATTGCTTTCCTAAATTAACTCAAGTAAAAAAGGAAAGGAATTATTATTATTTGAAAATTCAAATTTGAATTTCAAATAGAAAAGCGCATAAATCTAAGTCTAATTTAAATTCAAATTAGATTTGATTTATTATTCCCCTTCCTCATGAGTTGTTTTGGAAGCTTTTAAATCCCTCCTCCCTCTCTTAATGCCATCAGCCCCATTAATGCCCACCTCCTTTTGATTTTCCTCTTTACGCCCTACATCCTATTTGAATTTGAAAGCAAGCTTCAAATTCAATTCCCTCCCAAGTCACTTGAATCTGAAATTAATTTCAGATTTATTCACAACCACTTCACCCAAACCCTAAACCTAATTTAGCCCACAAGCCTCCACTTTCCCCTCTCTCTTTGGTCACCCCTTTTCCATCCCTTATCTCCCTTGGAAACCACAATCTCTCTTGAGTTCTAGAGCAAAGAAGAGAAGACAAACCATCTCCTCCCATCTACCTTTGGTGCATGGCCGATCTCGAGACCGACCCCAGATTTGCATACAACGCTCAAGGAGAAATTGACATCTTGTTATCTCCTTTCTTTGATCTTGATTGGGCATATGAGGATTCCGTGGAAAGCTACGTCAACCGCATACTCTACTGCCTCGCCGAGACGATTGACGAGCAACAACCCACAGGACATTGGCAAATCATTGGCCGACCCACAACTTCCCATCTTCCGGCTACTGCTTCGACGGACAAGACCCTACGCGTCACTTGTCTTGTGGTGGCATCACTAGGATTGCTTCTACCCTTTCTCCGCTAACCCCAACTTCAAAAGCGAGTGTGAAGGAACTCAGGGTGAACTTGTCTCGTGTTACCCCGCGGATTTTTGTTTTATTGCCTTTAGTTTTATTTTCTTATTTTGGTTGTTAATTGCAAGTATCTTGTTAATCTCCTTTGTAATTGCTTACCATTACTTGATCTTCTAACGAAAAATTCTACGAATCCAACTTGGTGAAACATAAATTTATAATTAGCAAAGTTAAAGTTCAAAATTATTATTAAGTTCCAAACGCAATTCTTGTTCTTTTCATATGTTTCACATCACAAGCTATATCCTAGACATATATCCATTTTCCTTAAAGGAACAAATTGATGATTACACATGAAGAATTGCCGACTAGAAATGCCAATATTAATTAAAATCCCACTACAATAGGTACTTACACAATTACCTTACATCCACATCTTATCATGGACAAAAGAGTAAGAGAATGTGTAATATGATAACTTAGAAATCTAATCAACAATAACAACAAGAAGACTTTATCTCACTATGTGGAGTAAGCTAAAAGAATTATTTTTCTCCATTCGGTCACAAATTAGAAATCTAATCAAAGGCAAAAAAAAGATCATGTTCATATTATTTGTAAATAAATACATGGGACAGCCTAAATTTAGAACTAAATTTTTAATCCCAGCTTACAATAAATAAAGGCAAGCTTCAAGACCAAATAAAAAAATAAAAGCCAATTAAAGATAAAATAAGCTCTGTTTGGAGAACTGAAAAAGTACCTCCAACTTATCCTCTTTAGCTCGATGAGTTATTGGAAGCAAACGGAACTCTTCAGTTAATCGAGCACATTCCCCAATATTTTCAGGAGAAACAAAGTCAAGGGCAACTTTGATACAAGACTGGATAATTGAAAAAGAACATAAGACCACATTGTCCAAAAGTTTTTGTTAAAAACTTCAATTGATAAGAATCCATAGATTTTATTGCACTAAAATAAATGCAAAATTGCACGTATTACACTGATATTTAGATAGCTTGTTTAATTAACTAGCATAAATTAACCTCAACAAAATTAGTTTAATTACATTTAATACTATATATGGAAAAGGGGTATTAGTAAAAACATTTCCGTGCAAACACCTGCACATAATCCCGTAAATTTTAAGAATTCTAAAAATCTAGAGGGGTGAGTCAGAAGAGCATTATTCTGACCTGTCTATTCCTGACTTGATGAGGGCATCCTGCTGGGATGAAAACAGCCTCGCCAAGATATTGCTCAAATGTCCAAGGCTCCACATCTGCTTGATAAATGAAAGGATGGCTTAACATGCTAATATGAAAACTGGAACTCAAACACTAAAACTAAAAGTATTTCTTGTGCAACAAACAGAAGTAATCAATAAATAGAATTAATTAAAAAAAAAGGAGCTTACTGAATTCCTCTTTAAGCTGTCTCTTATGTCTCTCATTCAAAAAGAGTGTTTGATCATGGATAGGATGAACAATCTAAAGAAGCAAAGTTGAGGATTATCATCATATGGCACTGAAACGCATAATAAAGATGACAAAATGGAAAAAGCTCACAGAGTTAAGAGGAAGAGTATTAATATGGCGAAACTCTTTCCAATGTTTCTGTAGATACTCAATCAGCCGGGGCACATCTTCCCTTCGGAATATGTCCCAAACAGCACCACCACAATGAACTTCCGAATTGCAGCTATAGTCCAAGTTACTTTTTACATCTCCTTTTGGTACTGATGCATCAGTAGCTTGACCTGCAAGAAGATTCAGTTCATTAGTTCATATTTGAAATCAATGTTGATTATCATATTTCAGAAGGTTGAACTCCCAAATAGTCTTCATACTATTTGTATGTAACTAATTTAGTCCCACAATTTCACACTTCTCCAACTCAGTCTCTAGACTATGCAAAATCAAACCCAGTTTAGTCCCGAATTGGAATCAATTTTGCATACCAATTTCCATCAATTTCTACCCAAAGGACCATTTGGGATCAATTGTGTATAGTCGAACATTAAATTGGAGAAATCTGAAACCCTAATTAAATTGTTCACATAGGAATAGTCTGAAGAATATTTTGAGATTTATTTCTAATTCACTAGTAGAACTAACACTGTAATTTGGCTACTTGTATAAGCATCAATTTCAATGCAACTAGCATTTCATAAGTTTAAATTAGAACTCAATGTTGATTATCATGATTCAGTAATAGAACTAGCACTTCATAACTCAGCTAGTAAAATATGTTTCAATTTCAAGTCAATGCCAATTAGGTGGCTCAGCTTGATTGATGTAGAAAAACTGTCCACAGCTTGACTGCTACAGATAGACTTACATCATTTGGTAAATCATTAAAATCATGTTCCCTGTGAGAAGCAAGGTTATTCAACTTTTGGTTGAACTTCACCATAAAAATAGAACTCACTACACTTTCAGTAGGAAAAAAACATCTGCTATCACAGGTAAACATGATATTACTCATTTAAGATTGATACCTTGCTCAAACACCATTTCCTTCTCAAAGGAGTTGCCAGAACCAAGGGAAACTGACTTTTCAACACTGGCATGCCTGTCTGTTAATTCAATATCGTTGCATAGGTTGCTCTCTGAAGAAGAGACTTCCATGGATCCTGCATTATTCTTGACATCATCAGCAGTTTTTATCCGTTGGTTCTTTATGTTATTGCAACATTCCTCAAAACCATCCTCCAGCACCAGACTTCCTTTCATTGCATGCTCTGTCACAGCCATATTCAAACCAACAAGCGAAGAGCACCCAGGCACATTTCCATTCGAACTAACTTGGATCTCCTCTGATTGTTCAATGCTAGCTCCTCCCAACTCCTTATCTTGCGCTACATAATGGGACATTCCCGTCTTCTCATCCAAATCAGTGCTCCTAGACTTTAAAATTGCAGAATCTTGAGTCAGTTCGATATTTTCCTCCACCTTTGCTATTCCTGTTTTATCTACAACTCTATATAGTTCCTCAAAATCATCACTATCATATTTCCTCTGCAACTTTTTAATCCGTTCTGTATGCCATGTAGACGTTATCAACTTAGTTGTATGAGTCAAGACATTTACCTAAAGTGAAATCATAAGAACTACAAAAATTAGCCATTCCCAAAGTAAAGAAAACTTAAGACAGAAGCAGCAGCGGAAAAAACAACCACCACTTAGAACAGACTTCATAAAACGACAGAAATATTCAAAAATACAAGCATGCTATGGAACCTTCAAATCCAAAAGTATTTAAAGACAACAAATAACCGTATCACGAACTTGCATCTGCTGAACAACTTGGTGAATATCAATCTGTTCAGTGCGGAGAAATAAATACACTAAAATTATAGGTAATTGAAGCATGTTGTAGGCTTGTAGAAAATTTTACTGAATTAACAGTAACATGTGAATTCTTTTTCAGCGGAATTACACAACTAACATCCAAATCTAATATGTTACAAACTAATGCCTACATTATTTTTTTTGAACTACCAAATCCGTGTATTTGTGCATGCCACAATCAAATTGTTAGATATTTGACAAAAGTGAAATGTAGGAGTTGGATTTTTATTGTGAATTTCAAGTGAAATTTTGAAAAATTGGGGAAAAAAGATGTCAAATTTGGGTATTATGCAAAGTGAAAAGGACAAAATGGTCCCTTGACTCTTTATGAAGAGTCAATATGGTCCTCAACAACATTAAAGCCTTAAAGGACCATTTCTCTCACACCCCATTTTGACCACCTCTACAATCAACCTGGAGTGTAACAGAGAAGGAAATCTTCTTACTGGCACCCATTCTTAACTACTTATATCAGAATCAGATGAGTAAAAAAATTAATCTATTCAGACTCTCCTAACATATCAAACTTTATACTTAACAATAGAAAGCATGTGTCAAATAACCACAAATATAATGCACATCTGAAAAGAAATACTGAGCTTTACTAAAACTTTTTAAAACTGTACAGCCTCTATTTGGACATCTATGTACACCCAAAACGTATATACACAAAAAGGACAATCACCCTTTCCGCCTAGTGCCCTACTGGTTCCTTCCCCTTTCCTGCAATACAACCACTGCTAATGAGCTAGGGATCAATAAAATAAGCAAGCAATGTATAAAAAATAATAATAACTTTTGATAATTGATTTAAAACACATTGAAATTCCATGTTGCAGAAGAAATGCATAACATTAATTTATATTCAATATATTTAAACAAGTTATATGATGAATATAAACTTTTGCACCCTTTCAGATTTCCAATTCAAGGTTCGGTCCGAATTCTCAACTTTTAGAATTGAAGCTGCTCTTATATTCAAAGTTGTCGAATTCCCAACTTTTAGAATTTAGAGAATGTAAGCTTATATGCCTAGTCATGTATTTTGCCTTTACCTGTACGGGTCTATCTCTCATATATGAGTTATTTCACTTTTCTACTCTCTTCCATTTTTCATGCCCATTTCCATAATCATACAGTACAAATGTAATTGCTACGCCTTAGTGATTCAACAATTCACATATATGAATAAAGTGAATAAATTGAAACAAATGCCTTTATAAACATAATAAATATGAATTTGAAAATGTATAAGTTTTAACTATTTTCTATGCATCGTTTTGATATCTCACCTCGTCCTCTAGGGTAATCGGGAGATGCTCTCCAAAACCCCGGCCTCTTTTTCATTTATAAACAACCTCAAAAGCACTCTTCCTCATTCAACCCAAAATCTTTCCAATTCTCCTCCCAAATCTCCTCCTTTTTCTTTATTTTTCGACTGAATTCAGCAACTGGTTTCAACATATAAGAATTTCAGCAATTAGTAACATTTAGAATTCAGAATTTGCTTTATTTCAATATTTTCTTTACTGAATTACTGAATTCCAGCCATTAATTTAAACACATACACACTAATTTCAGCAACTACAACAACATACAACATCACCAGCTATTATTACTAATTGCAGAATTCCTAATTATAAACACACTCAGCTGTCTTACCAAATTCCAACAATCAGTTGCAGAATTCAGCTACACACAGCAGCCCGCCTCCTTTAGCTCCCAGCTATCCCACGGCATGCACAGCAGCTGCTTCTCACGCATGAATGGGGAGGGAAGAAATGAACAAATGGCTGAAATTTAATGCTTCAGGAAATTTCTTAATATAATATTATCACTGGGAGCACAAACAGCCTTCTATCTTCTCCCAGCCGGGTGATTTAATCCATCCATTGCATGTGCATTTAAGTGATTTAAGCTACAGTGATAATAATAATATAAGATGTAAAGTGGTTGTTGCCTGTTAATTAACTTATACTAGTTATAATTTAATAATTATTTAACTTAGTTTTAAAGTAGCTGTTACAAAAGTTTAATAATTATACATATATTAGATTAGTAATTTACATATACTTCTATAAATCAAAATGCTTGGAATTACAAGTAGAATTTAATGAAACTAAATAAGCATTTAGAGAAAGTTTATGCGTATATTATTTTGAACATTTTTGGGTATTATAATTTTGGTCCCTAAACTACTTAAAGGAAAATCAAAATAATCTCATGGTGGGACTATTTTGATTTTTTTTAGGACTTGAGGGACCAAAATGGTCCTTTAATATATTTGGGGATCATCTTGGTCCTTTATAAAGAGTCAAGGGACAAATTTGATCCTTTTCTCTTATGCATGTGATCGCCTCTCCTCTTTTTTTTTAAGCTTCCAAACCCATTACATCCATAGTTGAAAATACACAAATATTTAGCTCATGTTAAAATTTCAGCTATGATTTTGAGTAACCAAAAGTTTAAATCACAAAAGATGGTAAAAATCTCTAACATATTCCACTTGAAATGCTACCTATTCGATAATATGATCGCATGCAAAGCAAACTGAGAACAATGATGGAGATTGTTTCATTAGAGCCATGAGCCAAAAAAGGTCAACTGTTCATCAATCATCAGGGGAAGTACATATCCTGCCTTGCAAAAGCAGAGAACACATAAAATATTCCAAACAATGAAAACAAGGAAGATGTCCAATAATTGAGTCAGGTATAATAATCCCCCGCAAACAAAAAAATATCTAGAAACAACTGCATCAGATACACATATGATGTAGGGGAAATCACAATTAGCATGAAAATCGATGTAATTTCAATATATATATATATATATATATATA